AAAAAAAAAAAAAAAAAACACACACACACACAAAAAAAGCCAAGAATTAGGAATTGAAGCATAAAGCATAGTGTAATCATTCAGGTAACTCTGCCCTGCTGTGTGAGATGGGACGGAGACCATAGTTCCTTGTACACCAGTGCTGTTATGGGTAGTTAAGGATAGTGCTATAAAAGCACTAAGGACTGACCCTAGTCCTTACCCCATTCCACAAGTGCCAGCATGCACGATGTGGACAGCGTGAACTTGTCTTACACCCCCAGGCTGAGGCCATCCTGGCCTTTCCTCCTGCACACTGCGAGGGTAGGCAAGAAATTCATTCCCAGATAGGTTTGGGGCGGGGGTTACACAGACCCCTGGGGAAAGCCCTCTGGCCCTCCGTGCATGCCACCTCACCTCCTGGGGCCACAGGGTTTTGTCTCCACCGCCCTTGGAATCCACCAGGTACCGTCCTTCTCACCTCAGAGCCAGGCCATCCACGGTGGGGGGGCTACAAGGTGCTGGGCTTGGTGCGGTCAGCCTGGCCCTGGCGGGATGACTCCTTGTCTTGTCCAGCCTGCTCCACACTGCCTGGTCCCTGAGTGGTGCCCAAGGTCCTAACACATCTGACCTCGGTGCAGGCAGAGCCACCCTCCGGGTGGGGTCCCGAGGCTTGGTGTCATCACTGTCACTTGTGGAATCTGCAGCAGGTGCTTTAGCCCACACATGGGCAGTCACTGAAGGTCAGGGCTCCAGGGATGCCAGCCGCCGAGATTGCTCCTTGCAGAATGAGACCCACGCTCTAGGTTTTCGAATCCAGTCCCCAACCTGCCTTTCCCAAAATCTAGATACACTAACACGTACCCATGCCCCACACGTCTCTGCATGCAAGGATGCACCACGTATGCAACACACGCACGCACACCCCAGGCTCGGTCCCAACACCTCCTCGCTGTGTGCCCAGGACAGGTGCATCGTTAAGGCTCAGTGCATTTAACAAAGTAGACAAACAGCACCGTGATGCCACACACACCTTTCAAACTCACATTCACTTATGAAAACGTGGTGCTGGGTATATTTTCAGGTGCTTTTTGTTTGTTTACATAAATACATATCAACTACTAGTGTCTGAAGGAACAAAGAAAAAAATTGTGTTGGGTTTATGGGCGTGGAGTGCAGTTCCCGTATACGTACATAGTTTAAACAGTTTTAATTGCTTTCTAAGGGTCATTTTAATATGAGATCTTCATGCTGGGCTCCCACGCCCCACTCTGTGGGAAGGACTGAGTCAGACACTGGGTACAAAGTGCCTGGTTCAATGCCTAACCCTCTAAGAAGCGTTGAGCCTGGGCAGGGGATTTAGCTCAGTGGCGCCGCCGCCTGCCTCGGAAGTGCAAGGACCTGAGTTCGATCCTGGTACTGAAAAAGAAGAGAAGCGCTAACCCCGTGTCTTATAATAGAAATCTAAGTGCAAGTACTGGTTTTCAGTGCATCCTGTGTCATTTCGTAGCTGTGTAACCTTGGACAGATGACTTAAATTTACAGCTATAAAATAGCTGGGCCTCCAAGTGCCGGCGTGTGAATGCCCGGCCTAGCGCAAGTGCGCGCATGGCGTCGGCTCCTTCCCACCCTGGTGACACGTCATGCTCGCCCGTGGCTGTGTTGCTAGTAACGGCCGGCTCTCTGCCCGCACAGGTCAGAAGGGAATCTCCATTGGCAAAAAGCACCCCTGGGACGCGCCGTGCCTGCATTCCCAGCTCGGCCTGCTCGCCCACCGGAGAGATGCCACGGCCCACCGGATCCTCTCCGCGCGGCTCCACAAGATCAAAGAGCTGAAGAACGAACTGGCTGACATCCGCCGGGAGCTGGAGGCCGTCCTCGCGGAAAACCAGTTTTTGAAACAACTCCAGTTCAGGCACTTGAAAGTGATAGGAAAATACGAGAACTCGCAAAGCAACTTGCCTCAGGTGATGATTAAACATCAGAATGAAGTGAAGACTTTAAGGCAGCTTCTTAGGAAATCCCAAGAGAAGGAAAGATCGGTCTCTAGGAAACTCAGAGAGACCGACATCGAGTTGCTGAAGACCAAAGACGCCCTGAAGGCGCTGCAGAAGCTCTCCGAGGACAAAGACCTTGCAGAAAGGGAAGAACTGACCCAGAAACTGTCTGCTCTGACGGCAAAAATGGAGGCGAATGACAAGAAAATACAGGTGTGTATTTCCTAGGCGTAGACACTTTAAGGCCACTCACCTGTAACCCGGCTCGTTAAACCACTTGGGGCCAAATTGGGGCCAGCAGTGAAGTTATAAGGGCGGGGGAATGGAGGGGCTCAGAGAAAAAAAGCTCAGAACCAGAGGTGCCTGTCTGTAGGGGTCACTTCATAGCTAGACCCAGGTCTGACAATAGCTGTTCTCTTAATGCAGCACAGCTTGCAGCAGTAGGGAAGCTTCCTCAGGTGCCAAAAAGGCTGCACCGTGTTGTGCGAAGTCTCCCTTGGAATCAGCACTGCTGAAAACTGTTACAAAAAGGCTGCTTCCCCTACTCCGACTCTACCTGTGTGCAGCCCTTCTCTTGATCCCTGGTCATCAGCATGACCCCCGTTATTGCCACACAGACCATTGATTGTTATTCTGGAGTATGAATCACTCCCAAACTAACCCTAGAAGCGGGGAAGGAAGAGGAATTGAAACAGAAGCTGTGAATGGGCTGCCTCTCCTCCGCGGTCCGTGGCTGTCCGCAGCGGGGGATGGCGCCGGCTCGGAGGATCTAGGAGATGGTGCTGGCCAGTTGGAGAAGGCCCTGCCCACTTTGCCTCATAGTAGAAAAGTCTCAGTGGACACAAACATCAATGGAATTCTTTCACTGTTTAATTATTTTATACTTGATGGTAAAAGTGTTTTCTATGATCTTGAAAATAAGCAAATATCAAGCTCATTGGGTCATACTTCTTATTTCTTCTGTTAGTAAGATTCCCTACTTTCAAAGAGAAAAGTACATAGCCAGTTGTAGTGGCACACACCTGTGATCCTAGCACTTGGGAGGCTGAGGCAGGAGGATCTCCATGAGGCAGGAGGCTAGCCTGAACTACATAGAGATAGAGACCCTATCAGAATAGAAAAAGTCTCACAGAAAATGGATACATGACACATATAAAATACTGAGCTCCCTCCTGGTCACCTTGTGTGCTGTCTACATTATTTGGGTTTGGGGTGACTTTGGATCTATATTCACATACTCTGTCATGGCAAAGTAAATGTATTTTTCTCTCTCCTATACGTTTTTACATCTACAGACAAAACAAATGAATTCCAGAACTAAGGAAACATTTCCTTGCTAGTGAGCCCTTGGTAGTACGGGGGATTTCGGCCCGGTTGTCAGGGAGAGATGTTGTGTGGGTGAACATAAGGTGGGTTATTTTAAACTGATATTTTAAGAAGTCAGACTTTCAGCAATTGTTTCAACCTTTTAGATTTCTCTTCCCACTCTGTAATGGAAAGTATTACTACTAAGATAAGCAGGGCCCACTTTGTGAGTCATGACCGACAAACAGGGTGTGTGTTTTCACACACACTTGCCCTTCCTCCTGGCCACTGCCAAGTAATTCTGCAGGCCCTCTTTCCTGAGTGTCTCCAGTTGCGCTGCCCTGGCTGCATCAGTGTCCTGAATGGATTCAAAGCTGTTTCCCTTTGGTGACCCTGCCCTTGGGGAAGAGCCGGGAGTCGCATACCACCCTGGTGATAAGGTGGGGTGAGCGCCCAGCGCTATGTACGCACAAGGCCGTACTTTTGATCGTGCCTCGTGGAGACCCTCATGAAAGAGTCCGTGCTTCTGCAGAGGGGTGGGGCAGTGCTGTGAGAGGGGTCCATGGCACTGTGCTCTTACTGTAGTAAACTGATTAAGATATAAAGTCACCATGTGTTTCCATCATGCGATGTGGGGCCGGAAAAGTCCTTTGGGCCAAGCTTTCCGTCCAAGTCCAGAGCCGACATTCTGCAATCGGACAGTCCCTCTGCCAAGCAGGTGAGCTTGCGTCAGATGGTGACCAGGCTACTTCACGAGCCCCTCCCGGCTTGCAGTGTCTGTTCTCAGGGAGTCCCAGTCACCCGGGTCTGCAATGGGGCCGGGCGTGCTGGCGCAGGACTGTAATCCCAGCACTCGGAGGCTGAGGGAGGAGGATCACTGTGAGTTCGAGACCAGCCTGGGCTACATAGTGAGTTCCGGGTCAGTCTCAACTACATAGTGAGACCCTGTCTCAAAAAAAGAAAAAAAAAAAAAAAAAAAAAAAGAGACGGAGAGAGAGGGAACCTACTGAGGAGGAAGAGGAGTCCCCTGGGCAGAACAGCTGAGGTCTCTGTTTAAAGTGTGCGCTTGGGTGTATTTTGTTTATTGACCTTAAGGATGTGTTCAAATTCTTTCTTATCATATCCCAAAGAATGTAAAAAACATGGTAGAAACAGTGTGAAAAATATGTCCTCTCGGCGAGCCAGTCACCAATTCTGTACCGCCATCCTGCATTCCTAAGTGTGCTTAGTCCCACTGTCACTGAAGGTTTCCACGGTCCAACCAGCTGCTGAGTAGTCCAACTGTGTCCTGTTTGCAGAGCCTGGAAAGACAGCTGAGGCTGAATACTCGGGCCTTCAGCCGCCAGCTGGCCACGGAAAACCGGAAGACGCAGGCAGCTCAGACAGCCACGAAGTCCCTGCAGGCGGAGGTCAGGCACCTGCAGCAGAAGCTCAAGGTACTGCTTTCAAAACAAAACGGGAGAAAACGCGATCCTGTGTCCCCAACCGGAGCTGTTTGTGCACATTGTAGCTCAAATTCTCTGAGTTCAGGAATCTGTTTCTCACGTTGTTTCTTCCCTACAGTCCTGAACAGACAGAAGGCCTGCAGTGAACTAGAATGAGGGAATATGTACTGTAAACTAGAAAAATTAAAGCTCTATTCATTCATGAGACTTCTTATCATTTTATTTCATCACATTAATATTCTGTTTATATTTTAATGTAATTCTAAATCAATTTCAAATATAAAGCTAACTTTAACACTGTAATATCAAGGGCATATTTTAGTGTATATGCTGCCAAAGCAGTTCTTTTTTTTAACAAGGACAAATTTTAACGGCCCATCATTTATTTAAAGTTTCATTACAAATACATTTTCAAAACTGTCTTTTAAACCAGGCATGGTGGCACACACCCATCATCCCAGCTCTTGGGAGGCTGAAGCAGGAGGATCGCTGTGAGTTTGAGGCCAGCCTGGGCTACATAGTGAGACCCTGTCTTAGGGGGGAAATTTTTTTTTTCTAAAATTTCCAACATTGTGAGAAAGCTGGATAAGACAAGTGAGAAATAAACACTTTTGAATCTCAACTAATCTTCAGCTTGACTCTGGAGACAAAAATCTTCATCTTTTCTGGGACGAGTAGGAAATTTGGTTTCCAGGGAGTCTTTGAAACAGACCACTAGGGCCTGAGGAAAGGGAGGACCAGGAGGAAGCTGGAAACCCTCCTTGCATAAGGCAGGGAAAGAGCTCTGGGCAGGTTTTCTTTGGAGCTTCAGGAAACCAAGAAAGAATTCACCAGAAATGGGCAAGGCTAAAACAAACGGCTTAGAAGTCTGAGAGAAGAGGCTTCGGGATCCCCTGGACCAGACAAAGGAGGCACAGTCAGTAAACTTTAAAACAATTTTGTGTTTCCTTATTTCATATAAGCAGACACTGTATTCAACCACTAAAAACACATTTACTTTGGCCATTAGATATGCTTAATATTCCGTGAAATGCTTAGCTACAGATACAAAATTCTATATATACTAAGATATAAATGCAAGCAAAAAGATAACAAGAAGATTGCAAATATAAATATTTAGAAAATTTGAGGTGTAGTTCAATGGTAGAGCACTTGCCCAGCACATGCGAGATCCTGGGTTCTATCCCCAGCCCTACACAACAAACAAAACTCCCTCAAAACTTCTTTGATAAAAACAAAAGTAAATGCACCCCTGCACAATGTATTTCTGAGCTGCTGTAAAAAGAAACTGGGCAGCTGGGGGTACGACTCAGCGCTGGAGCGCCTCCTGGTGGTTGGGAGGCCCTGGGTTCCATACCCTGCACCGCTAAAGAAAAAAATGAAATAAGAATAAGGAATTTTCATGAACCCCATGGAGTAATCCCAGGATTTACTGGTAATTGGGAAAAGGAAGGTTGAGGGCAGCAATACAAATTTTCCTTTTTTTAAATATATATTTTAAACAATCGGTAAGATATTCACAGAAAGGGGAAGAAAATAAAGCAAAAGGGACAGTTATAGAACATACATTTGTTGAATCTCTTCTTGCTTGATTTGGCTTTGAAATCACATATCTTGTGTAATCATAAGGCAGAATTGAAAAGCTAAAATGCTATACCAAAAAAAATCCAGAGTAAAGAAAAATACAGGAACCCAACTATGTATTCCACGGGTGGCAGAATGTCACACAAAGAAACCATTCCAAAAGACTCAAACACATTGATTTTATCGCATATGCTAGTGAGATACAAGGTGAGAACTTCACACACATACACCTTAAACTGCTGTTAGTTTAGTAATGATTTTCGTGGTGGCGGGGTTGACACTGGTATTTTAACACTGGTATGTGCGTTCTTTGTAACATGGCGAATAATGTTTATATCACTGAGGACTGGGATTTGGGAGACAGAAGGAAAAAACATAAGAATAAATAAGAACCCTATACTCCTGATTTTGATTGGAAGTGAAAGTATTAATTCATGACATATTTATGTTTAAAACTGTTTCTAAAGTGACTGACAGTGGCAGTACACCCCTGGCGCTCTCTAATGGCCTCCCAGTTCTGTTTCCCACCAACAAGAGCCAAGGTGTCTCAAAAAATTTTAAGTCTGCTGCACAAAGTCTACTTGACAAGCCTGGGATTCCTGTCATACAAAAAAGGGGCAAGAGGATGACAGGCACAGGGCTCGGGAGCCATCGAGAGTGGACTCAGACTGGCCAGGGGTGGGACAATGTGAGATCAAAAAAGATGTCCACATGGGCTGCATGTTATCCACCGAATCCAAGGGTTCACAGTGACGCTTAATAAACAAAACCCTTCAGCGATGACTCACCGTTGGAGGGCTCCAGTACACCACCGGGGAGCCAGTACGCTATTTTGAAAACTTATATATAAAGAAAAAGAAACAATCATTTATGTTTCTTTTCTTTTTACTTTTTTGATCTGAAGTATTCTTCAGAGTAACCACATCCTGTAATGAGGTTCTAGCCGCCTTATAACAGCACTTCAGCTGATAATGAAGAAGGGACAGTCTGATAAAACTCAATATTTTAGAATTCCTAACAAATACTGGCTCTAGTCAATGATCATCAGTTAATACTAAAATCACAAAAGAGAAAGCATGAGGTGGTCCCTCCTGATGGCTCTGCAACCTCCACCCTGACTCTGGCTGCCCCTGAGCTTAGCAGCTGACTTAGTGGAACACGGGACAGTGGAACACGGGACAGAGGAACCGGGGAGATGACACCACCGGGACGCAGCCAGCGGCATCAGACTCAGGGGGACCCCACAAACAAAAAGCACAGTTTCTTGACAAACAGCAAAGTGGGGAAGGCTAGACGGTGTGGGGACCTGCGGATTAAAGGACGCCGAGAGACCTATTCATCGATCACAAGGTTTCGGACCTTGTTTGGATCCTAGCTCAAACCAACTTTAAAAATACTGTTGGACCCTTGGGGGGAACAAAGAGAAACACGCTGGATATTTGATGCCAGTAGGGTTTATCATTGATCTGAGGGAGCAGAATGGTGATTATTGTGGCTGGGTTTGAAAAACCACAGCTTCGTCGGTTGTCTATACAGGAATGCGGGTAGATTACGTTATGATGCCTAGGATTTGGTTAAACTAATCCAGAGTGGGAGAGAGGGTCGGAGAGGCTGGTACGTAGAGAGAAAGGAGTGAGTCATGAGTTGTTCGTCATGAAACCGGCGTGTGGGTTCATGGTCACCCTAGTATGGTCTCTACTTTTTTCTTTTTACCTGCTTTTTTTATATATATATATATTTTGATACTGGGGATTGAACTCAGGTCCTTGCGCTTGCAAGGCAGGCCACCAAACCACTGAGCTAAATCCCCGGCCCTACTTTTTTATATTTATTATGTTTCCTTTTCCAAAAGAAAAAAGTAAGAAAATTATATATTTTATGTATTTAAGAAACAGTAAAAACAGATCAAAAAGCTGAGCTGAACCTAGACACGGTGCTGCACACCTGTAATCCCAGCACCCTTGCAGGCTGAGGCAGGAGGATCACAAGTTGGAGCCCAGCCTGGGCAATTTAGTGACTTTGCAAAAACTTGTCATAAAAAAAAAAAAAAAAAAGCGGGGGACCTAGGTCAATGTGAAAGCCCGGGGTTCATTCCCCAGTACCACAAAAAAAAAAAAAAAAAAAGTGGGCTGAACAAGAGTTTTTCATTCTTGCCTACCAAAACTTGCTGAAAATGACAGAAAACATACTTTTTAAATTAGAATCCATAATCCCTGTGCATAACGTGGCTGTACCTGATTACTAAATGGCTTCTGGTACAAATGCAGGCACGTTCAGGCTGAGAGCGAAACCAGGCAGATAATCACAACTGAAGCCATGCAGAGCTCCGCTCCTGGAGGGCTGTGGCTCAGGGTCGGCAGAGGGAGCAAGGGGCTCCCAGGCCACTGCCAGGTCCCCCATCCCTACCACACAGGCTCTGGACAGTGGTGACTGACTTGGGACCGGTCCCTGAGCCACATTCACCAGCAGGGAAACGTAGTCCAGACTGTGCATGTTTGTCATCCCAGCACTCAGGAGGCTGAGGCAGGAAGATTGCAGCAAGTTCCAGGCCAGCCTGAACTACATAGTGAAACCCTGACTCAAAAAAAACTAAAACTTAAAAACCAAAAAAGACCACGCTCACCTGGCCCTAGGAGGTGACAGTTCTACATGGTCTTTAATTCCCTTCTCCCAAGACCCCAGAAAAATACCAACAGGGACCACGGGCCCTGCCTGGCTCCAGCTTGGAGCACAGGCGCAGGCTCCTCCCTAGGGCCAGGGTGAAAATGCTGTCTGGAAACAGAAAGCAAATTCCGGAGGTGCTCAGGGTGAAGCAGTGGGTCAGCCAGAGAAGGAGCCTGGAGAGGGCCCCAGGGCCACACAGAACAGCAGGACAGCGAGACGCAGAGCGCAGCCTCCATCCCCACCTGTGTTCAGGCCCCCTGATTATATGTGACCATAGGCAGGCATGAGAGAAAGCACAAGAAAAGGCAGGGCGTAACAGCACAGGCCAGTAGTCCCAGCACTCTGGGAGGCTGAGGCAGGAGGGTGGCAAGTTCAAGCCCAGTCTGGGCAACTAGTGACAGTGAGACCCAGTCTCAAAATTTAAAAAATAAATTTTTTTAAGGGCTGGGGATGTAGCTCCATGCAAAGGTCCCTGGTCCCATCCCTAGTACCGGAGAGACAGAGAGTGGGAAAAGAGGAGGAGGGAAAAGGGGAAAAGGAAAGAAGGAAGGAAGCAGAACAGCTGATGCAGTTTAATATCCAGGAAAGAAGACGCTGTGGCCACAGACTACGATGTTAAAAATGGAAAAATCAGAACACAGTGTGGGAAAAGTCAGTAAAGAGCGAGACGATGATCTAGGACAGAGGCGGCGAACAAGCTCTCCAAGGTTCACCATCACTGACCGAGGATACCGAGAAAATCTCCCTAAACAAGGAGCCGAAGACAAAGGCTGAGAAAGGAGACCCCAGAGAATGCGTGAGCAAATCACTCCAAACAGTCACTCTGGCCATTTCTCACCACGGTCATCAACCCATGGCCTGTCCCCCTCTGTGGGGCGCTCCCCAGCTCCCCCCGTTCTCGGCCCCAGCAGGGACCCCCGCGGGAGGGCCCAGAACCTGTTCGCGTCATGTGCTGCATAGCATGTGGCAAGGAACTCGAGGACTGGCCCGAATTCTGTCCTTGAAGCTACAGTCCAGGCAGAGCTTTGCCACGACGGCATCGGCCAGGGCGCTCACAGGCTGGAGGACCGCTGAAGTCTTAGCTGGACCGCGGGCAGGAAGCCCACACACAGGCTCTCGGTGAGGGGTGGGCGCCCGGGGCCCCACGAAGGAGGAGGAGGTGGAGCTGGAGGTGGAGGCAGAGTCGGACACAGAGCAGGCGGCACCAGCAGGAGGAAGCCACAGTTCCCTTGATGACCGCATCATCTCTGCCCCAGTCCAGGCAGCACACAGCACCTCCTGCGGAGGGGTCACAAGGAAGAGTACGGGGACAAGAATCACCACTGCGGCAGTGTTAGGGACCTGCAGTCTGCCGCGTGCATGTCAGTAGCTGTGTGAGCTCAGGACGTCTGGCCCAAGGACCCAAATGTCTGTTTCTCTACCCTGAAACTCAGCATCGAAGTCACCCTCCGGTGCCGCCTGTTTCTGGAGTTTGGGCCGTGACAGGAGACGGAGGCCAGCCCTCCGCCACTCCCCGAGGAGGTACCGCAGCCTGCTGTGTCAGCTTAAGGTCCTGGGCTCACTACAGGGTGGCCTCTCCTAGGAATGTGCTTCCTAGGTAATTTGGGGTTTCTTTGTTTTTGATGAGACACGATCTCGTTACATAGTTCGGGCTGGCCTCGAACTCTCAGTGATCCTTCTGCCTCAGCCTTCCAAGTGCTGAGACTACAGGCGTGCAGCACTGCACCCTGCTACCTAGCTAATTTTTGGAACTGATTTTTGGAATTTATTTACACTGACCACATCATGATTCCACACGATCAGCCAACTTCCTTTCTGGGTGGAAGGGATACTGGGGACTGAACCCCGAGCCTGTGTGCGGAGCCACAACCCCAGCCTGTTTTTTTACTTGTTGTTGAGAGAGGGTCTCACTAAATCACTGAACTGCCCAGATCCTCCTGCCTCAGCCGCCCAGAGTTCTGGGACTATGGGTGTCCCCACCATGCCCCACTTGACTGTGGCCCGACTTCCCTTTGAGCTCCTGGGTGCCCTTTCGTCTGGGCTTCTCACAAAGAATCGTCGAGCATTCCTGGCTACCCATGGGTTCTCTTACTCCCTGATCAACCACACAAGTGCCCTGAATGGACTGGGGACCAGCTCTGGGGTGAGGGTGCCCACCTTGTACCTGTTCACATGGGAGGGGACTGTGCTTCATGAAGCTTCCCTCCACCCCAGCCCGTGACTTCGGCAGCCACCTCCTTCCTGTCTGCTGCCCCCAAGCTGCACACCGCCCGGCCCATGCCAAAAGAACTTTCCAGAGAACCAAAACCTGATCCCCCACACTGAAATCTTTTCTTAAGCAGTGTGAGTGAAGAAAACTCTCCGAACAGTTTTGTCCCCTATGCCTTCTCTTCGAGCTAATACCCAGAATCCCCCTGCTCAGCGGCCCAAGCATTTCTGGTCCTTGGGCTGTGTTACGGCCGTGAGAAGGGAGACCAGGGGAGGTGGACTCTAGCATTTCTGTATCTGGAAACAAATTCTAGAAAAGATGAATAGTCTAGTTTTATCCATTTTCTAGAGCAATTGTAAACTTTTTTATGATTAAAATGAGCACAAAACCTTCACTGTCCAATTGATATTACAAAGCACATAATGTTGTCTTCTATAACTGACCTCTACTTCCTCGCCAGCCCCATTCACAGAACACAAGGATGCTGCCTGGGTCTGCCCTAGTCCAAAGCGTTCTCCTCTTAGGCGGCTCCTGGACTGACAGCGTTCTCCCCTCTCCTCACGTGTGTGTCACTTGGTGATGGGAGAAAGGGCCTCTAACCATGTCCATCCCCCCACCCGCTCCCTCCACACCTTCTCCCCAGAGTGTCACGTTCCCTGGCCCTGTCTGTGGCCCCGACTGTGACCAGGAGCACTTGATGGCCTCCTGTCACATCTTGGCCCTCTTCCCTCGGTAGGTGCTGGGGCAAAGGCTCATGTAGTCTGTGGCCACTACAGTGAACGGTGAGGGACAATAAACCTCAAGGCGCCCAGAATCCTGTGAAAGAGGCTCACTTGCACGATCTAGTCCCCATCCCAGAATGTGTCACTCTGTCAGAAAGCTAGTGCTATCTGGAGTGGGGCAAACACTAAGACTCATTTCTGTTCCTTCTGGATTCTACAGATTGTATTAGTATCATACAGAGCTCACTTAAATTGTTGTTTTGTTTTTTTTAAGAAATCCAGGTTAACAAAAGTAAACATTCATAGAAAAATCAATATTGTTATTCTTTTTTAGGAAAAGGAGCGAGAGCTTGAAATTAAAAACATCTATACTAATCGAATACTTAGAAATATACGGGAACTAGAAGATTATCCAAAAGGTATATTTGTATTACTTTTACTCAAAATCTATTTTTAAGTACCCAGTCATATTTTTCTTAATTTACATAGCCGAAGTAATGGATTATTTTATTTTGATTTTTTTGAGAGAAGTTCTCACTATGTAGTCCAGGCTGATCTTGAATTCACAGTGATCCTCCTGCCTCAGCCTCCTGAGTGCTAGGATTACAGGTGTGTGGCACCACACCCTGCCAAAAATGCATATTTTAAAAAATAATTTTACTAGGCATTAAAATACACTATGCTATCCTAGAAAGATAATGAAGGTGTGAGATAACTTTTCAGCCAGAAGCAAAATACCTTTCAAAAATTGAACCTTCTAACTATACTTGCTGGCACTGTGTGGCTTTTGAAAATGAACTTTCTTGAGATATACTTAACCCTAACAAGATGCCCCTGTAAGCCAGTCGTGGTGACACACACCTGTCATCCCAGCACTTGGGAGGCTGAGGCAGGAGGATCACCACAAGTTTGAGGTCAGCCTGGACTGCGTAGTGAGAGATTGTTTCAGGAAAAAAAAAAATGCCCCTGGTTTTTGTTGTTTTCAAATTGCCATCTGTCTTATTTCAGAAATTATTTTCTGCTGAAAGAAACATTTTTCAACTTTGAGGTCCTTAGAAGTTACTTTTTGGCATAATTTATCCACTATATCCCAAGTGGCCTTGAAAGGCAAATAATTCAGTTCTGTTGATGATCTTTCATGGCTTTTTTTGAAGCAAAACAATTATTGGCTCATTTTAGGCTGACATAATGATAGCACTCATCACAGGGAATTCGCGCCCGTCACAGCACCTCCTGCCTCCTTTTTCCACCCCCTTCCCTCCCTATGTACAAAAGCTTTGTTTCCATTTTCCCTTCCATTTTCACTTGTTTTCCTGTCCCTTCCTTTTCTCCTCCCTCCTCCCTTATTCCCCTCCCCATTTAAACATCTTCCCATCTCCCAGTATCTACTATACATTTCCGCTTGCAGCTTCTCACACCAGAGAAACAGTGCAGTATTTAAACATGTGTGTCCGACTTATTCCAAATATGGTCTCAAGGTCCATCCATTTAGCTATCAATGTCTCAAGTTCATCCTTCTTTATAAGATGCCCCTGTTTTAGCTTTTCAGTTCAGTGGATCCCCCACCGGCACCCCCGCCGGTAAAGGGGATCGAACTCAGGACCTTGCACTCACAAGGCAGGCGTGGCACCACTGAGTAAATCCCCAGCCCAGCTCAGTGGACTTTTCAGTGTTTTCACCCAAGTAACTGCCACCTCATCAAGGCCTCATCACCCAGGAAAGGTCCCTCATGCCTACGGGCAGTCAGTAGTTGTGAGCCTTGGTAGGATTCACCCGGGGGCGCTCTGCGTTCCTGACACTGGAAGTCCTGGTGACCCCACCTCCCCACGGCAAGTCTGCAGATCCGAATCCCACCTGTAGGGGCCGCCCTCGTCCTCACACAGCAATCTTGTCCTCTCCCAACACGTGATTCCCCTCTCGCCAGACAAAGTAAGACAAGTCAGGGGAGAGGGCAGGAAAAATGCACAAAGCAACCGGCAGATGTCAGACGTGTAACAAATATCCAGAAAGCAGTATACTTTGTTTTATTACATTCCATACGTCAATGGTATTTTGTTTCAAAATCAATATTGCTTCCTCATGTAAATATGATTCTCACTTGCCATCTACCTATTCTGCAGTTTCTTCAACAAAATCAGTACAAGCGGACAGAAAAAGCTTGTCATTTATAAGTGTAAGACACCAGGAAACCCAGAAGTCAGAGGACGTTCCGTCTTTGACAACTAAGGTATGCCAAGAGTGAAATCTGCAACAACAGCTACGCCCCAGACCATCACTCATTCTACACAAACAGTATTTGTGTTCATTAGAATAAATCACAAGTTAAAATCAAGACACCAAAAAATGTATTTGTTCTGCTTTTCTGAATTATAGGGTAAAAAGGTAACAAGAAACATTCGTCCCAAAGAGAAATCGAGAGAAATAAACAGTGAAGTTCCTTACTATATCAGTAAACTGCCAAAGCAAGACGATTCTAAGAGAAAATTTGAAGGTAATTAGAGCAAGCTTTAAAAAAATCTCTAGGGGGCTGCCGGGGATTCAGCTCAGTGATTCTGCCGCCTGCCTTGTGAGTGCAAGGTCCCAAGTTAAGATCCCTGGTACCAAATGAAAATCTCTAGGGGGTGGGCACAGCTCAATGGGCGAGTGCTCACCTAGCATACCTGAAGCCGAGTGTGACCGCTCCCAGCTCTGAAGAAAAATCTCCTGTCTTATTAGATTTTTAAAACTTTGCATTATATACATGTGTATAAAAACACACATAAAGCATAAACAGTTGATAGAATCACAATAAAAGGAGCACCCGGACAGGCGTGGTGGTGCACACCTATAATCCCAGCACTCTGGGAAGCTGAGGCAGGAGGGTCACACAGTTGAGCCCAACTTGGGCAACTTAGTGATTCAGAGAGACCCTGTTGCAAAATGAAAAAATTGGAAAGGTCAGGGGATGTAGCATAGTGCAAGGCCTTGGGATCAATGCCCTGTGCCATTATTACACAGATGATTGACTGATTGACTGACAGATGCCTGGAAAGGTCACACCTCAACAAGGGCAACTAAGCTATTGCAATAGCTCAGCAATTTGGTAGAACTCACCGAATGTATAGCCACCCTGTGTGCGGCAGACTCGTGGAAACTGATGGTTGCTTGCAGTTTTGCTGTGGTCACTGAGCCTATATAAGTTTCTAGTCACTTTTCAGTCCATTTGGGTAACTGATACTGTCCTGAAGGTTAATGCACTTGAAAATTTCTTCCTGCACCTATCCTGTGTCAGGCGCTGCTCTGGCACTGGGAGATGGCAGTGAACAAGTGCAAAACACCCTGTGCTGAGCTGAAATGGGCTGCGAGGTGGGCACTGGCCTGGCATTTAAGAGGCCCTCCTGCCTCAGCTGTCCCCATGCTGGGATTTTTGCAGACATCTGTCTCACTGTTTCTAAAGGACTCTACAGTGAACGTCCTTATACTGATCTTTGTCTATTTCTGTGGGCTTGGTCCCAGAAATGAGGTTGTTGGCCTGGGGACGTCCTCTTGAAATTTTTATAGATACTGCCAAACTGCCATCCAAAAACCTCTACCAACGCATACGCCCACCAGCGGGGCGCAATCCCTGCGGTGTCCCCATATTCTCCTCAGCTCTGGAAGTAATTGGCTGAATGGATGGGTGAAAAATGTTCTCATTGTTTTCCCTGGCACTGTATCCTGCTAGGGATGCGAGAATCTGTTAATAACCTTGTTGGCAAATTTTATTTCTTTGCCTGTGAATATCCTTTTCCTTCGGTTTGGAAACCCCACGGCCTGGGGTAGTCTAGGCAGATGGCACCTTGCTGTCATTCTGTGTTGTGTGCACTGTTCTCCCCGCTCGCGCCCCGGCCGCACCATCCTGAAGGAGAAGCCCGACCTGACAGGCCCTGAGCTGTACTTTTTCTCACACAGATGTGTCCAAGGAACAGGGATACCTGGAAGTGCACGCCCCTCTGGAGAATACCGGGAGACATAAAGAGAAGGACGATCAAGAAAAGAAACCCCTTTTGCACGATCAGGAGCTGCTCCCCAAACACATGCCAGCCGCCCCCACCGATGGGGAGAGCGGTCAGGACGAGGACGCAGCTGCCGGAAAAGAAAAGTTTAACAGAAGCGTCCAGCCGCGCGAGGCGGAGGAGAGCTCGGATCCGGGCGCCGGCCCCAACGCCAAGCCACCCTGCAGGCAGAGGAAGCTGTACTCGTTCACCGAAGCCACAGAAAACCTGCACCACGGGCTTTCCGCGTGCGGGGGGCACGGCACCCATAGGCA